TATCAATGCGGAACTTTGATAGATAATTAATACGAAATTTTATAGGATTGAAAGAAAGCTATCAACGCGACTTCGTATTCAAAAAAAGTCATCGATGAACTTTGTGTAATCCAAAAAAACTGTCATTGTCGGATATCGTGGGATTCAAAAGGAATATTAAAAAAGACTTAATGAAATTCAAATGTTAGCGAAATAAATTTTTAAAAATATAAAAAATTATTGAAATTAAAATTAAAATTAAAAACATCTCATATTGTGATATTGTGAAATTTATCAAATAGAGTTAATAGAAGTGTGTTACTTAATGAATTTTCTAAAGAAAGAATCTGCTTATTTTTGTTTTATGCATTTACATATATATATAATATTGCTATATTAACAGATTCATGATATGTTCAATGACAAGTTCAACAGACACTATGATATGTTCAATGAAATTGGCAAACTATATGTGAATGAAATGGAAATAGAAAATATATTAAATAGAATTCTTTTTTTTAATCGAGTATCAATCGATCAATCATTCAAATATAGTTATATATTTTTTCTAATTATTTATTAGCAAAATCTTAGCAATTTTGTTTTATACTTGCAAAGTAAAGTATATGAAAATTTTATTTTTTCCAATTTTTACTTGATCAAGATATCACGAATAAAATATAATGAATAAAACAAATGTCTATTTTTCAAAAAATGCTAATAAATTTTGCTTGATAAATTTTTATTTTTTAACAAATCAATATTGTATATGTATCATAGTCTTTATATAAATAAAATGATAAAATGTTAAACATTATATAAATTTTTTATACTTTTAAATATCGTGACATTTTATTTCCAATAGTTTAATCCAATAGAAAAGAATTGTTTGGCAATCATAAGTCCATATTTTTTAATTATCGGCAGAATATAAGATGTTAAAAATATAAATATATACATATTGTAAATTAAAAACTATATAACTTGGATTGTTATGAAACTTAAAAATAAAGCTTTATTATTAAAAAATTTTATTCAAAAAAAATTATTTTTTATTATTAAATTTCATATATGAAATAACTATAATAATAAACAAAATATTAAATTATTGATATTAATTTATAAAAAATTATATTTCTGATAATAAATTAAATTAAAATAAACAATTTTAAGTAATACTGATAATATTTAATCAAGTAGAATAGATTTTTTAATAGATTATATATTCTGAAATATCGATCGCGTAAAAAATCAGTATTTCTATATTTTATTTCTATAATTTAAAACGGTAAATATATAGCAAGAATTATATTTAATTTAATCAAAATTTGATGAAATTCCTAGATTTTAAAAATAATTTCTTTAATGTAACTCCACATTATAATAAAATTGTCAATCAATTACAAACAGAAAAAATATCAGTTAAATATAAAATAATAAATTAACAAATTTATTTTAACAAATTAATGATCAGATAAAATTTTGAACTTTGTAACTTATTCAGCTCTAAATGTATCGTACTAACTAATGTTATCTCTTTAGTATCAAAAATATGTCTTTAAAAAAAAGATAAGATGGAATAAAATTTGAGAATTATCTTAAAAGCACTGATTCCTCAATTTTTTTTATTTTATTATTTTAAAATTTTATTTTAAAATAAAATAAATTTTATTATTTTTTAATTTTATTTTTTTTTATTTTCATCATTTTATCATTATTTGTTTTTTTGTTTATATTTGTTTTTGATATATGATGACCACAGAAAATACAATGTATTAATTGAATATATATTTTGTTTTTAAATTACAATGTAAATTTTAAAATAAAAAATATAAATATTTTAATTTTATTTAAAATAATTTAAAATATAATTTAAAATATAAATATTTTAATTTTTATTTTTTAATGTTTTTAATGTTCAAGATTTTATAAAACATATTTTATTACATTATGCGAATATTTTGATGTGAAATTTATAATAGAATATATGTTGTAATTCTTGTTAATAATTTTATATTAAAATCTAATTATATAATTATAATTCCAATTATTATTAACATTGCAATTATTTTGAGTCGAATTGATAATTTTAAGAAAAAAATTTAAATGATAAGGAAATTATTTTTCATGTAAAAAATAATGAAAAAATGCACTAAATATTAGTTTGTGCTTCATTTATGATTCAATCTTAAATCAAAATAATATTTTAAATTTTTATTAATTATAAATAAAAATATTAGAATGAATGTTTGTCTCGAAATTTTATTTTTATTGACTATTTCTTATATTTTTTTATATACATATTAATAATATAATTGGATAGATAAAGTTTTAAAGTTTTAATCTTTTTACATCTTCTGGACGAAAATCTATTCTCATAGAAGCAATACGTCGAACTTCAGCAGGTGTTAATCTCCATGCTATTGCATCTGCACCACAATAATCTGCTAGTTCTTCCACTTTTTCAACACTTAATATAGTAGCTATTTGAGTTAATCGTGCAAACTTATCACGTACAGACCAAGAAGTAACAGCAGCTAAGTAACTTGCCAATGATCTTATTTCTTTATCAAGTATGAGACCTCCCGCCTAAATAATTTAATTGATTATTAAAAGAAATAAAATAAAGAATATCATAAAAATATACATACTCTGTTAAATGTAGATTTCAATACAACTTTTTCTAATCGAGCTGTGACTTCAGCAGTAAGAAGACCAATTAAGGCATCATAATTAGATGTTGTCAAACTACCTTTAAAACTTTGAAGTAAACCTTCTAAATTCATAATTAAAGTTTGTACAAAAGGTTCTTCCGTTTCATATCTTAATAAGTCATCCTATGAAATTTTACATATTTAATTTTATTCTTTTATATATTATTACAATTATATATTAATATAATTTTTACCTCGTTTATATGATGATCTACAGATAAAAATGCATCGACCCAAGGTGTGACTCTTGGTTTGACGGCGCTTATTCGCAATTGTTCTAAGCCATAATCAGTAACAGCTCGCAAAATCGACATAACACTTTTTAAGCCAGACAAGCAGCTATCGATTTTACCTCTATCTTTATTTTGCATATTAGGAAATGTTGCATCTATTTCTGGACTAAGACTTTTACATAGCGTTTCGACATACTCAATACTTACATCAGTATTATTTAGATAAGCCTATATTATATAAGAAATGTATAAATTAATTAATATGTAACAAATATTAAATAATTTCAACATTATAATCAATTTTACCAAAAATGTTAAACGTGCGAGTTCCGTATCTGAAGTCTGTAAACGACCATGTTGTATACTTGTTGGAAGAAGAGCATTATAAGCTTGTGTTAAATCTAAATATCCTGCTGGATAACCTTGTCGTAATCGATTTCGTAATCTATTTGCAAATTCCCCTTCTAATATACCACAAGCCATATTAACAACAGCACAAACACCATCTATACTCCAACTTGACATAGAACGCCTATATGTGAAAATTTTAAAAATATAACAAGTATATATTTATGATGTAATACAATATAAATTTTTAAATTTTTTTAATACCTTATACATTTTTGCACTATAAAGAATACATCATCAACCATACTAGATGTTTGTTGATCTTGATCTAAAGTATCCATTCCTAATGCTTTATTTACACTTTCTTCAAGAAAATATCTTTCTAAAGCAAGATAAGCACTTAGAAGTTCTTGCATGCCATGTGCTAAATCAGAATTATTTATAATATTTTCGAATTCACTTATTAAATCTTTGTATTGCATATCATTTGTTGCGCTAATTTCGATATCATTCTATAATAAAAATATAATAATGCCATACAATTTTTATGTTATAAAAAATATTTAACTTACTTTAACTCTTCTTTTTAAAAATCTAATGTATAATTCTGCACGTGAATGCATTATAGTAATTTCTCCCAATAATAAATCAAAATCTTTAGGATCTGCCCTTTCAGAATTTGATTTTCGAACATGTTCATTTACAATCTGTACTTTTTTAGATATATATCGGTGTTTCATAAATTCTGCAATAATCTTTTTAATTTGTCTAAATTTGATATAAGTAATATAAAAAATAATGTTATTTTTAAGAATATACATAATTTTTTTATATATATTAGTAGAAATAATATACCTATCACATTCTTTTTGTAAAATAGAAATAGTCATTAATAATCTTCCAGGACCATAATATGTTTCAATTATTGGTTGATGTATTTCCACAATACGAGCAATTCCTTCAAATAGTAACGTCATAGTATCAGAAAAGATAACTGATGCTCTTTTATCATTACTTTTTATTTCCAAAGCTGCTTTTAAATTTTTTTGAGCTGTTTCTTGCAACTGAGTTAATTGAACAAATTATAATGAATAATATAATATATGATAATGAAACGAATTATAACAAAGTAAAAAGTATTAAGAATATATATATATGTATAAAATTATATAAAATATATAATATTTGAAAAAAACCATATAATTTACATATAATTTATTACCTTTGTGCATAAATAACTACAAAATTTTTTAAGACCTTCAGTATGCATTCCTAATAAAGGAAATATTTTAAAAAATCTTTCAACAGATGCAAGATCTTCTGATTTTACTGCTTCATCGAATTTATGAGTAACTACAGTTCTAAGTTGTAATGCAGCTTGTTGTAATGTAATCAAAGAAGAACTGATATTAGTGTGATCCATTAAAATGTCTTCAGCTGTTCTTTCTAATAATTGTTGATCCATTGATAAATAACGATGAACATGTGCTGCACCTTGTTCATAATCTTCATTGCGTAATGCCATAGCTACTCCTTCACTACATAATTGTAAGTCAAGAATGTCATTAACACGTCTTTGACATTCATATACTCTACTCTATAATTATATATATAATTATATATTATAAATAATAAAAAAATTATTCTTAATCGTATAATTAATATTATAATTTAACTTACCCTTGCTAAATCTAATTGCCTTACTTTAGCACTTACATTTTCTGCTAATTCATTAGTACGTGTAATCATATTACAAAATTTTTCTCCTTCTGTACGTATTACAACTACATTAGGTAATACCTTACTTATATTTTGTAATTTCGCTTCTACATGACATTGTCTTGAAAGTATATTTTCTAAATTTTTTTCTATTTTAACCTGCAATTAAATAATTATTTTTTTCAATAAGTATGAACTAATTTTTAAAAATATAAAATAAAAATATTAAATTTAGAAAAACCTCATCTTCTGATAATTTATTAAGTATTTGAGTTAGATTTTCTTCATTTAGAGATAAATCCATGATACACATTGTATTAATAATGATAATAGTAAATTATAGAAATATTGATTATAATATAATAAATTTATTAAATACTCTCAAATTTATATTTAAAAACAATTCCAAACTTAATTTCATTAAAAAATGAAATTTATATTAAAGATATATTATAAGAAAAAAATAATTTAATCATATATAATTAAAAATTTTTTAATTTGTTACATTGTTTAACATATTTAAAACTCAATATAAATGATTAGAAAATTTAATAATGAAGTATCTTTTATTTTTTTAAATTTACTTTTATTTCATTAGATTAATAATTTTAATCACTAAATTAATAAATGAATAATACAAAAATTATATATTTTCATTCAAATTTTATTATATTATATTTTTTGAATTATTTATTTATAAATATTTATTTTATTGTTTTCAAAGGGATAAAATAAATATAAAAAAATATATTAAAATTGCATATTAATAACTAAATCAAATTATTATTTTTTTATAAAAAAAAAATGTTCTGGAAAACTTTTGCTACATTGATTAATTTTATCTATAAATTTTTATAATATAAAATATAAATAGACAAATAAAAATTGAGATCAGTTACAGATATTCATGAATATCAGTATAAATGAAAATTCACCAATGACAACGCCTTTAAGGTATTCTACACATGTATCGAAACGTCCCACGCATCGCGCGTGGTTTCTGTAGGAAGTTGAGTTCTTTCCGCGCATCTTACGCGTTTTCCTGAAGGAAAATGGCTACCAGCTGTCATTTAATCGAAAAGTGTAACTTGTAAAGTTAGTATAGGATTGTGTGAAAAATTATTTAACGTATATAAGATTACTTGGCGTGATGCAATTACATAACGTTGAAATCGTTTAGTTGATCGACGCCACTTTTCATCTCCATGCAGAACCCGTGAAACTTCTACAGTGCCATGAAATTTTATTCCAATTTACTGTTTACAGTTTTTATTTTTTGCGAAACATATCAGGACTAACAAGTCAGCGCTATTTCTCCATTTTATAAATAATTTAATCATTTTAATAGTCATTTTACAATTATTATTGAAAATTTAACTGCGCTATAAAAGATTACAAATTTTTTGATCTTACATTGTTATTTTTGGAGCACATTAATTAAAAATACGGTAAATTATTGTTTATGAATCTTAGATATAAATTTGCGATATATATATATATATATAATACATATATATAATATGTATATGTATATACATATATATATGTATATATATATACATACGTACATATATATATATATATATATATATATATATATATTTTTTCTAATTATTCTTTTTTATTTTTTTTTGTAATTATATGTATTTTTTTAACATTCTTAATATGTTCTTTAACATTTAAGCAAAACTCTTATATTATTTCAGAAAATCAGCATGGGTTCGAGTCAACAATTTTCTCTTAGGTGGAATAATTATTTAAAACATATTACTTGTGCTTTTGACACATTAAGAACAGAAGAAGATCTTGTTGATGTAACTTTAAGTTGTGAGGGAAAAAGAATAAGAGCACACAAAATGCTTTTATCCGCATGTAGTACATATTTCAGAGATTTATTTAAGGTAAACTGAAATTAAAAATTATTATTATATTATTATATTAATTCATCGATATTATCATATACCAAAAATATTATTTATTTTATAGGAAAATCCATGTCAGCATCCTGTTATAATATTTCGTAATGTAAAATTTGATGATTTGGCTGCATTAGTTGATTTTATGTATCAAGGTGAAGTAAATGTGGTTCAAGAACAATTAGCTAGTTTTTTAACAACTGCTGAACTACTTGCTGTTCAAGGTCTTACAGATGGTACAGGAAAAGATAATGATAGTTTAGTAGAGGTATGTTTCACATTGTTATTAAATATAACAAAATATTTCTATTTAAATTAAAATGATATATTTCATAATTGCTCTAAATGCTCTAAAAATATATGGTTTATGATTTATGTTTTAGGATGACATAGAAATTCCTAATGAACCTGAAATTCAACTTCAAAATGCTTCTAGTAAAACTGCAACAGATAAAAGAAATAAATCACCTTCATCTCCAATGCCTTATCACGCTGTCGATTTACAACCTGATGCTCCGCCAACTAAAAGACGAAAATGTAGAGAAAATGCAAATACAAATGCAGATAAGACTATAAGTAATGCTTTATCTGCAAAAGATTCTGAAAATAAAACTTCAGAAAATCAATCAACAACTGGTTCAGATCCTGTTGAAATAATTCCTCTAATGCCAAATTTAAAATTGGAAATGCCTGAATATCTAGTACAAGATGGAAGTAGCTGTAGTTATGAAGAACAGAGTTTAGGAGACAGTTCGCTAAATAAAATTGGTATAGAAGATACATCATCTAATACTCCTGATCATGATCAGAAGCCTGATATCACTCAAACATTTTACTCAAGTAATCAATCTACTTCAGATAGTTTGGATCTTAAACATCAAACAGCTGATGTTGGTAAGACTTTTATTATTTTTGTCTTTTTTTAATATATATAGAAAGATATTTTGTATAATTTTGTTTGTTAATTAGGACACTTGCTTTCAAAACCTAGTACTTCTGGAGAAAGATTAACGCAAGAAGCAGTACAGGGTAAGTGGTTTCGTTTAATTTATTATTTATCTTACTTCACTATGACATGTGATTTGATGCTATGCCATATCTTTTAATATCTGAAAAAAATTTTAACAATTACTATAGAATTATAAAAAAAATATCAATAAAATATAAATAATATAATTTCTGTATTTTACTATATATAATAATTTTAAATGAATATGATAATATTTAACGCTTATTAAAAACACAAAATTTTATTTTTTAATTGAAAGAAATGGCGTTGCAAACTAATTTTGAATTTTGTATCCATATATTATTAATATTGATACTTTATGTTTAATATTCAATTATTGATAAGATAATATTTTACTATTTTAATATTATTTATAAATATGAAAAAAAATCACTTCCTTTTTATCATAAAATTATTCTTATGTTATAAAATTCTATGAATCGTTTATAAATTGAAATAGATTATTTGAATATGGATACAAAAATGATTTTTAGTCATATCTTTAAATATAACTTTCATTTACTTTGATTTATTATCGGAATTCGATAATATATGCAGACTCGAAGGAAAATTAATTTTATTATAGTTAATTTAAAAGATAATTGCGTGAACTTTTTATAATATAAATCATATAAAAATTCATTATAGTGTATAATTTTATATTATTGTTACATATAAAAAATTTGTTATTAATTCATAATGAAAAGATATAGAAAAAAAAGAATTCAATTATTATTTATAGTTTCAATTAGATTGGGCAACAAGAAAATAAGAAACTTAATAAAAATTTTCATTTTACAAAGTTTTATTTGATAATCATTTATTTTTATACAAATATCAGGATCGGGTTAATCAAACGATCAGTATAGTAAAACATCTCGATACAAATATCTTAATTAAAAAAATTATTTAAAAAAGAAATTAATTTTTTTGTTGTGAAAAAGTGTTACTTTATTTCTATTAATCATTTAACCGTACTATAGTATACAATATGCATGGTTTTTGGATGTAAATGTATAGGCACTCGGGTGTAGGTTGAACTGTAGATATTAGTAAGCATTGCCAAGTGCTGTATGTGTGCCGACAATCATCAACATTCCCTTAATAACTCGTATAAAGCCACCACTACGTTCCTTCCGAGCACTAACTGTAAGCATATTTCTATGTATACACTAAAATATCTTTCAACGCTGGTATAAGATAACTTCTTTGAATCCGCAAAATTTTTACAGGACACGCACGCACGTGTGTGATGCAAAATATCTCACATGTCGATATCACTTGCATGCAAATTTAATCTTAAATTAGTTCATTTTCTTACCAATCACGAATAAATGTAATTAAAATAACGATAAAAATTGAAAAAAAAAAATATTTAACAATTTATATTTATTTATTGTGCAATTTTATATACTAAGTTTAACGTATAACGATATTATCAATATATATTTGTTATCAAATCAATATTTATATCGTCTTTTTTTAATCTCTCATTTTCGTTATAATTTGTAAAATTTTATCGTTTGATATTTAAGATTAATTTGCAAGCTTGTATTCATTTTTTATATAAGAAAATTTTGTAGCCTTGCAAAACGACTAATTTAAAGTAGTAATGGTGGTGGTGCTGACGATAATGGCATGTTAACGATTCTTTTCTGTATTCGAATACATCTTATTACTTATTCCTTCTTTTTATATATATATATATTATTATTTATTTTCGTAAATTAGAAAAAATCAATATGGGTGCGTGGATATCCGATATATTCAAGTCGAATCAATAAACTTTTCGAACATGTTTATTTCTTATTTACTGAATTTTAATCGCCTGTGTAGGAATGTCAAAACTAATTGTTCGTCCGTTCGTAGCATTATTTTTCGAAGCATTATAAAATTCGAATTGTTCTTTAAATTATTTTTAACGCGACCCGATCCGAAATACGTTTAGCCTGTTTAAAAAGAAATTTCGGCAGGTAGGTAAGCAGAACATCTTTATGTTTATCATTTGATTGTTTCAAGCAGGAGCATGAATTATTCGAATAAGCGCGAAATTAATAAGTAAAGATAATTACATTTTTGCGTGCGTATAGAATAGAATATGAAAACAGAATTTCTGGAAGAATTTATCTTATGAAATGTTTCGTTCGAAAATAATAGAAAAATCGAATAATATAAATCGAATAATCGTGTACAATTCATATGTAATTTTTCAAGCGTATAAATAATAATTATTGTAAATAATTGAAATGATACAAGAATCGATGTTTGTTGTATTATTGTTATATTAACGCGCGAAATTGATGCGATCGAATTGATGCCCTATATTATTTATTAAAACTATTGTGTGTGTGTGTGTGTGTGTGTGTGCGTGGACTACTTTCCTTTACTCGCACAATAAGCGCTTAACATCTTATGACTCACGCGATTCGATATAAATTGTATAATTGTATACCGACGCATCGTTCTCCGTCAACAAATTGACATGCCGAATCGAAGAATTGCATTATCTATCAAGACAACAACCAATCTTCCGTCGATCGATTTTCTTCAAACTTATAACCGCTATCGATACACGAATATTTATACGGAATATTGTTCTGTATATGAAAACGAGCAAGCAACGTTTCATAATATTTTCCATCTTCTAAGCACACATTATTATTTCGCGTTTTTACGCGAAGATCGTATTGAAGCGCAAAAAATAAACGTGCACATGCCCGAACAGAAAGTAGAAAGAATACGAAAAACGAAAAAAAAGAATATTTCCAATCGACCGAAGCACGTATCCAAGTAAAAATATAAAAAAAACTAGAAAACTAGAAAAAGAAAGATATAATGTAAAGAAAGACGTGAAAAGAAAGAAGCTGATTTTTTCGATAATAAAAAAGAAAGGAAAAGAATGATTCATCGAGGATTTAATTTTTGAGCGTAAAGGAGAAGCATTCGCGATGAAAAAAAGAAAGAAAACAAAAAAAAGTATATAGAAGCAAAGTGCGTTGCAACTTGAAAGGAATGGAGGGAAACTAGGGAGAGAGGGGTGAGAGAGAGGTAGGGAGTGGAAGGAGAGAGATTCGATCGACGGTCCGAGAAGAGAAAGGAGGAAGGAAAGAAGGGTGATGGAGAGAAAGAGAGAGAGAAAGATTCGGCTAGCACCTGGCAATGCTACATTTCCATCTAAATACACGCATACACGTACGAAAATATACTCGTGGGTATTGGTATCGCTGATACTCTAGACTGGCTTTTCACGGCTACGGGATTGGTTGGTGCTGGGATTGGTCGTTAAAGAAATTTTGTTTACTAATGGTTGGCTGCATGTGCACATATACTTAAGAATTGACTAACCGAAGTGTTTGGCCAATGTGTTTTCTTCAGGAGGGATTACGTACGTATCTGGTCAGCCGCATAGCCTCAGCAAAGCAAACGGCCACGGAAAAGTATGTGTACACTGCAAGCAGCGCGGAATAGTCACATCACGTGGAAAGCTCAGGCAGACGCGCTTCAAATGTTGGCCCTGCAATGCCTGTTTGTGCCGCTGGCCATGTTTCGTCGATTTTCACAAAATGCGCGCCATCCCGCACATCCCGCCCCCATAGCACCAACTCGCCCCCTCCGATTGCCCACAGTTAATATCGTTACTCGACTAATTGTACCCTTCGCTTTTTCATTTTTTTTTTTTTTTTTTTTTTTTT